AAGTCTAAAGACAACATAGCGGATCCACTAACCAAAGGGTTAGCAAGAGAGTTAGTTGCAAATTTATCGAGGGGAATGAGAATTAAGCCTATTAAATAAGAGTTACCACAATGGCAACTCAACCTAATTGATTGGAGATCTCAAGATCTAGGTTCAAAGGGACAACTGAGTTGTGTATAACTCATAACGATCACTAGGGAGTAAAACTCCTACCTATTTCTATGATGAAATAGTGATGTCTGCAGCATTTTAGATTAAGTAAAACTTTTAATGATTCTTATATCTAGGAATACCTAGTGGAGTATGAAAAGATACTTTTCATAAGAATCACCTATATGTATGTGAACTGGGCTGGTTCTATAAGATTTGTGAAGGGTTAGAATTCTCTACAACCCTTATGAAAGACTAGATTGTTCGGGGTCAAAATGAGCACAATAGTGAGAACTAAACTATGTCTGGTGATATTCTGTGTGAGTTTCTATTATCTTAGTTTACGCAAACAGCTGAACAGTTTAGGACATCATGTTCACTAGTTAGCTAGTAAATCTAATAGTGTCTCACAAGGGAAGGTTCAAAACTAAAAGCTACTTATCATTTGTAGAATATTCTCAATTTATGTTCTCTTTGTAATTAGATCATGTTGTTGCATTTTCTCTCTGTCAAATTTCATTCATGTGGGGGATTGTTGGAAAATATAGTTTTATAGGCTTATTTTGGGCTAACTTTGAGCCCAAATTTAAGTGGATCCCAAATGTCTTTTAGGGTAGGTCCGAAGAAGTAGCGTACTCCTTGTCGCATGGCAAGTCACACAGTGAAGACAGTTTGTCAAAACCATTTATGAGTGAATGAGAACTTGACGTCGTTTTCGGGTTCATGGAATGTACTATTAAAGTATTAAATGTGGGTTTCCTTGTAAGGCTTGTCCCATATTGGAAACTTAAGAGAACTTATATGTGTATATAAGTTCTAGGTGGCAACACTTGAGTTGAGCTTCAAGGGGGCACCTCAAGTTTGTAGAAGGGAGGAGTTATGGACAAATGGAACCTTGGCTCAAACCACCACCCACGCACGCACGCGCCGCCGCTGTCCAACCGGCGAGCCAAGCCATGCGCGGGTGTGGGTTGTGGGTCGGGTCGGTTCTAACATTAATTTTTTAGACAAAATTTATTTGAATTTTTTCAAATTCTTATGGGAAAAATTATTTGAATTCAAGAACGAAATTAATTTAATTTTTGCACGAAATTCTTCTGTCCAAACAAAGCCTCCTCCGGTCCAATTTCCAACTATCTAAATTGCTCCAAACTACTCAGCAGTCTGAACAGGTTCAGTTTTCTTCCAGACAGATTTAACTGTTGTGCAGTTATATGTTGAAACTGCCACCAGATCTGTTTGAATTTCAAACTGTATCTATTCAGGTTTTTTATACCTGTTCGGACAGATTTGAAGGGTCACATTCTTGCCTATAAATAGAGATCTTTCCAGTAGATTTCTACATCTGAAAAACATCCAGAACAAATCTGTTTCCTCTCAATTTTGCTCTTTCTTTACATAATTCTTCATATTAATTTTTAGGAAATACTTTGAGAGTATAGAACACAGGTTTTATTCGCTGTACAAATTGTTTGGAGTGCTACTACAATTTGTGAAGATCATTGTATCCTGGGAGATAGACGCCTTTTATCCGTTAGCACTGTAGTGGGGTGAATCTGTCTTAAGGACAGAATGTCACACACTCAACTTGATTTTTAAATATTTATTCGGTTCGGTAAAATAAATTCAGCAAGTAATTTATTTTATTTGTTTGATTTGTTTCAATTTATTTATTTTATATAGAAGATTGTTCCAACAAAGGTAATTATAATTATATGATTTTATTAGATTGTTATTGTATCATACTTATTGTCATTATGATTTTTTTTTCTTAGTAGATAATCAAAGTACAAGAGCTTAGAAGATAAAAAGATATGAATAAATAATTTCATTTGCTTTTCCCTCGATAAATTCATTATTCAAAATGTAGCCTAAATGTTTCTAAAATAAATTTTAAAGTTACAATTAGGGTGCACCAAGAACCATGTGACCTCAGAATTAAACTAATAGTGTCTATGGATTGGGTTGCTATTGTTTTGAAAGTCATTTGATTCAGTTTTAAATTAAGCTAGAATAATCCGAATCAATCACAACTAAACTCAAACGCTGTTACATCTTGTAAAAAAAAGAATTATTTGAGATCCCTTTAATTTATTGGACAAAACATGTGTCAAAGCAAACTCCCTAACCCATAATCACCGAATATAGAGAATTATTATAATTTGAATTGAAATGCTTGTAAAATAGTAGCATATTCCAACTTGAACCAATCCAAGGTTTCTTCATCCGAATTGTTTCCTTTTGATTTGATTATGGGCATGAAAAATGAGAATTGAGCAAGTTTAACGTTTAGGAAATCGTCTAAGTTTAGAATTGAGCTAATTTAGTTAAGAATTTTTTTTGAGAATTAGTTAAAAAGTTAACTTATTAAATTTAAAAAAAAAAAAGAAACTTGCAAAAAAATAAGGGCGACGCACCAATAAATCCCAAATATGTATCTTATGCTCCATTTAGTCCTATCTTTTATCTTATGTTCCAATTAGTCCTAACATAATGTTATTGACAACTAAACCCGCCTCAATGTAATGTTTACACGTTTTAGTAAGGGTAATTAAGTAAACCCCCAACGGCGTAATGACTGGAATGCCCCAAACCTGTCTTCTGTAGAAATTTGTTTCCCTCCAAACAAACCCGTAATCGAAGAGTCGTGTATGGAAGGTTGAACAGTTCTCCGATGTTAATGGCGGCATGTCAGGCATTGCAGTTGCAGAATGTTGCTTGACGATGTGAATTCCAGGTCAACAGAATAGCATTTTGTGTTTTACCGTAATCCCCATCAAATACGAAAACCCCTTCGCTGTTGATACATCAAACCCTGCGGTGTAGTTGCTTGTGACACTTCTGTGCTTCGAAATAGCGAGCGGAAAGTCCTCGTAGGCGCCCGACAATGGTTCCAGGTACGTTAAGCGCCTCTGTACGTAAACCCTTGATTTCATTTACATTACGAAGTTGTGGTGTTATGGGTGACATATTATGGGAAGTGGTTAATGTTGTGGGATTTGTGAAATACATGAAATTGTTAAAAATGTACGCTGAACTAGAGTGGTTTTTTGGGTGCGATTTTGAGAAATTCATGCGTCTTCTCGGAAAGTAGGTTGTCAATGTTCTTGGCTTGTTGAGTTGTGTGTTTTTTTGTGATTTTGTCGTAATGTTACTGCGTTGAATGTAAATGAGATGGTAATGCAATTTTATTATCAAGTGTGTGCTGGGTTTTCCTGAATTTGGGGGGGGGGAGAGGGGGGTTGAGGGGAAGATGGTTTACCTATTTGTTTGTTGGTGTATACTATCTTAACATGTGGGGGGGTGTGTATTTTTTTCCTTGGTTTTTTACATCGAAGCAAAGTATAGTGTTGTGCAAGAATCATTTCGGTGATGTAATCACAAATTTCAAATCGGGGCCCCTTTTTATTTTTTGTTTACGTTTTGCTGCCCAATGCGTAGTCGTAATCATGTTATGTAGCGTGTTTGATGTTGTGAAAATCATATTGAAGTGGTGACGCATTTGTAATGTTCTTCAATCCATTGACATAATCTACGTAGCGTCACTTTAATTGTTGGATGTTATTGTTGAAATGCATAGCTACAGCTCGTTGCATTTGTACAAAATTTAGTACAGAACAATATAATTAGTTAGTTGGGAAGTGATAGTGGTTAGTACTTCATATAATGCATGCAGTACGTACTTGTTGCCTAGTGCGCGATGAGATGAAAATCAGAGTTTGCCTGTGTGATGTTAATGTTTGAGTTCAGATTTTACTTTGATGGCATGACATGGGGCATAAAAGTTGGTGTTCTTCTGGTAAATTGCCTGATGCCGGAACATGTGGTGGTGTAAAAGATTCAGTTTCTCATGGTAATGCATCATGATATTTTATGTTTTGTGTTGGCAGTTTTAATTTGTTTCTTCTGATTTGAATGTAAAACATGTTCAGGTAGCAGTGGCAGTAGGACTGGTAAACGGAAAATTGGCTTGAGGTCACCACACACATCGACAAGGCAACCCAGTAAACGACAAGCAAAGCTCCCTTTCAAGAAACAGAAAGGGCCGGGTGATCTTGTTCAGAGAGCTGTTGTTGATACGTCGAAATTAATGTACCGTTCAAACATATCCGGGCTGATTAGCACAGTTCTGGAACTCGAATTACGCGATGCCCACGTCAGACAGTTGCAGAGAACGCCATTCTGGCTGATGATTGATGCTATTCGGGCTAACGAGCTGGATCCTAAAATGTTCAAAAAATGTGATGCGACGGTATGTCGGATAATACAAACTTACAACCCTGAAGATGAGAAATTCCACATCGGTGGAGCTAAGTTACCATTGCGCAACAACGACATCAGGTTGATCTTTGGGGTACAATGTGGGAGGGAGAAATTGGATATGACACAGGGTGGGAAAGGGCCGTCTGATTTCATGCAAAGACGCTGCGCAAATGTTACCCGAATTTCCTCAAAACTAATAAAGGACTTGCTGGGAGAAGCCATCTGTGGTCGTACGGAGCGTGACGAAGATGATGTGGCGAAATTGTTATGTCTTTATGTGTGCGCCAAGTTATTTTTTGCAACAACCGGCGAGCATATAGGTTGGGCATTTGTCCGTGTGATTGACAAACTAGACACGTTGCAGCACTATGACTGGAGTGCAACAATAAGAAACACATTGATTGGGTCACTAAATGAGATGCACAATAAGCCAGAGAAGGTCACTGGTTGTATAGTAGCATTGCTGGTATGTATGTTTTTTGCTTGTTTGGTGGTTCAAATTCAGCGGTAAAACATATAACCCATTTCAGTGTTAATTTAACGGATGTTTCATGGTCTAATTTCAGTTCCTTATTTGTGAGCATTCAAACATCGTCGCTCCGGAACGACCCGACGTGACACCACGTTTTTGTAGATGGAACATTGCAGCCGCTGTGGGGAAACTAAGAGTAATAAATTTGTCGTCAGAAGGTTGCTTTGAGGTATGCAATTAGAACCCTTTTAATTGTTTTGCAAATTTTTCCAATACCAAAACATTGAAATTGTGCTACGTTTTGCTGGTAACTTTCATTAGGTCCAGTGTGGCAAACTTGTTGGGACGATTAATGAATGTCATATTCTGAAGGTGCCTGCTGCTGCTATTGAACCAAAAGAATGTAGTAGAATTAGGGTGGATGTGGAACCGCCTGGAGTGTGCGATGAACGCAGGGCTGTGATTGAGACAGATGATGTTGGCAGCGTGGAGCCGAGCTTCAATTGTTGGCAGCCGGCCAAAAAAACCAAGGGTGACATGAAAATAGAGGGGGCCAATGACGATGACAATAAAAATACTGGAACACCGACCAGCAAGGAAAAAGTAGCTGGGAAGCTGGTGTCACGTGGAGAGGTTTGGCCGGTATTGTTCCCAGATCTTCTGGAACTGTCCAGCACTCCAGACGGTGAAGACGTGGGTGGGGAACAAAGAGGGGTGCGCGATGAGCTGATAACTTGTAAAGCAAGAATTACTGAATTAGAGAGTGAGATCAATATGAAAGATGTACAGATATGTGAACTGGAACAGCGTGTGGAAACACTGGAAAAACTGCTCGGGCGGCATGCTGGTAATTTGTTTGCAAACTTAAATACTGTGATTGTGGATAAGGATGCAGAAATTGCACGGCTCACCAAGCAGGTTGATCGATTGGACAAAAAAGTAAGCAATTTGGAAGATAGTCTTGATGACCTTGAGGTTCACGAGGTCACACAATTAGCTGTGAATGCTGGATCCAATCAGCGAACACCAAGTAATAGTCTGTCAGGCAAAGTGAGTGGGTCTGCCAATGTGACGAGTTGCGAAAGTGCGCAGCGGTCTGCATGTCGTAGAGGCCAACCCGAAGACGTGCGGATCAACGAATTACAACTTGTTGACAATGACCCTGGGATTGAAGATTTGACAGATGACTTTGCAGATGGGATTGTACGTACAACTGTGGCAAGGGGTGAGGGTAGCTGCAGCCCCATAAATGCACAGACAGTAGCTGGTGGCAATGTAAAAGATGGCGCAGCTGTCGTTGCTGTAGAAGGTCATTGTGAACACACCGAAGGTGCAACAACTTCTGGGCCGAAAATTACATCACTTGTGAAAAGGGTGAAGAACAAGGCAAGACGGGAATTTAGGTTATCAGACTACGAATATCCCGGCATATTTGGGCGTCCACAGGTAAACACCAATGTCAGACTTGGTAAATCAGTTGAACCCGGGGTGATTTACAGTGTTGAGGACGTCGAGGTGGAGCGTAAAACATGGAATGGATTCGGTCTGAATAGGCGGCACACTGTGTGGAACATGGTGAAGGATGAAGACAGGGAACTACTACAAAGAATGTACACTTTAGAGGGGGACGGGTACGTTGTTCGGATGAAATGTTCTATTGTTTAACATGTACAACTTGTAAAACTATGCTCTATGGTGGTTCTTAATTTTGGTGCACGGTGTGCAGGTTAATAGTGTGGGATGGTGGACATAATGGAATACAAGTCCATTTCACGGACATCAAAGATTTGGTGCAGCAGAACTCCATACACGGCAATGTAAGCTGGTTCCGTGTAACGAATCGTACAGTATTTAGTGATTCTTTAATTATTTTAAAAAAACATATGCAAATCTGACCGTTGTTTCCTTTGTGAATTGAGTGATGTGGCAGTCGGAAACGGCAAATGAATTTTAAAAACCCAGTGAAGAATATGTAAATGGAAATATAAATTTACAAAGTTGTTATTACTATTGTGGTGGAGTTGTAATGGGTGACATATGTTGCAGGTAATCGATGCATACGCTGCAATGTTGACTGAAATGCATAAGATGGTATCTGGAAGGGCAGAATATGTTGGGGCATCGTACATTTACACTAGTGTTTGTTCGGTATGTATCTTCAGTTTTATTTGACTGCCTGAAATCTAGAAAATATTTGCATAATTAAACCTGGTACGCCGATGGTGGTTTTGGACAATTGTGCAGGATATGATGCGAAACAGTAGTGCTGTTTCCCGAGCGAAGTATTTGAATGTTCACATGAAGGCTGCACGAGGTTGCAGATACACAGTAATCCCAATCTACAATGCCAACCATTGGACAGTCATGGCGTGCGATTCAGAAAGTGGGAATTGGAAACATTACAACTCGATGCGGCCAAGACGTGGAGTGCGCGATGAGCACTACAATGAGGCTCTAAAAGTGGTAAGTGCTGTTTACAAATTTCAGTTTACAATGTGCATTATGGGCAGATTGCAATGTGGAAAATGTTAATGTTACTGTGGACAAAACTGCACTGACATTTTAAAAATGGACAGAAACAATGGGTGGCTGATCACCACAACAAATTTGTGAAGCCTCGAGTTACACCTACAGCTGTTGGCACACAGCTGTTTGATGGCAGTTTTGTATCTGTTGTGGATTGCCCACAACAAGTTCCAGAGTCGTAAGAAATGTTCATTTTATTTTGAGCGTACTGTTTTGATGATGTATCACGTCTGTGACATTGACACCGGTGTTTGTTAGTGCAGGTCGGATTGTGGGATTTTCGTGTGCTTCATAATCAGGCAGTACATTCGTGGTGCAGAAGTGAATACTTCGATGGATGGGCTGACCCCAACTGGGCTACAAGCTGCAATGGTGGAAATGTTCTTAAGTGACCCGGGCAGTGGACTCCGTGGGAGGACATTATAACAAGTTGAGAAGACATTTCCCAGTGCGCAAGTTGCAACAACAGCGTTACGATGTTTTTTTCTGTTTTTCCCGTATCGGCGTATATAATGTTTTGTTAGTCTGGAAACACATAAAAGTAGGACGCAAAAACTAGTTTCATATACGTTACTTTTTTGGTAATGCAGAAGTGGCAAACGGTTTAATCTTGGGTTAGGATCCAGTATTTTGTGGATATGAATGTTGATATTATTTAGTAAGCTATTCAAAGTGTCTCACCTTTTGCATAATAACAGTTTCACAGTGCATTACACTTTTATGTCATGTGAAGTACATTGTTTTTAAATGGCAGATGGGCCTGGGTATGTGAACATGGTGTGATGTATGCAGGAGTTGGGCATGACTAGACTCAGTTTTGTAAACCTGTTTTACACCACGGGAGTATGCGTGGTTTGATGTATATGGAAGTGGACATGCAACGACTGAGCACGTCAACCACATGGTAAGCATGACACGAGTAAAGATTAATTTCGCATTGCCATCTTAATCAGAATTGTGATGATACCATGTTGAGCATAACATAAAATTACCTTCCTGTTCAATTTATTGTAAGTCATTTGGTAATGGGTACATGTTTTGTGCAATGACAATGGATTGTAAGCAGCCACAGAAACATTAAAAATCCATTGCCGTTCCGGATACAAGTTGGCAGAGTCCACTTTGGGCGAATGTTCTGGTATGATGTGAACAAATTTATAAACTTAAACGGCCCCAATTCCTTATTTCATGTATTCACAGTGTTAATGAAAGCGTCCTTTGAGAATTAAATGGTTGTGTTTCAAAGGAGCAGTGTTAGTGTTCAGTAGCGGGGACCCAAAACGTATGTCCTACTAAACAAATTAAACCAATAACATAAAGTGGATGACTGGTTTCCAAATCTGTTATGATGTCCACAGATTTGAAACAAAAACCGGCACCCACTGACTCTTTTCGTGTGTACACAATGTCATTCAAAACAGATTTGAAAAATAACAACCACTGGCTACTTTCATGGCTGCACAGTGTTGAGCAGAACATATTTCACACTAAAATGGTTGGGTCTTAAAGGTGGAGTGTAATTGTTCAAACATGGGAAATGAAATGGTTGATGGATTACGTCAAAATGTATATCCTACAAAACAAATTAAACCAATAACAGAAAGTGAATGACTGATGTAAAAAAAAAAAGGAATTTTTTTAAAAAAACCAAATAACCCAGTTTCTTAACAACCAAATTAAATCATATGGCAGCCCAACTGTAATGGCTCTTTGCATGTCTTCCTATTGTGATTGCCCACTTTTCCGCAACGACCACAACGTATACGTTGCACTACCTCCCCCTTGGACGGAATTCTCTTCCGTTTTGGCCGACCGGGGGGACGCTTGGCCGTCGGCGGAGCTATCAAACATTCAGCTGGGTTAAACAGTGGCCTCCCCACTGTTGGGATGGGGTATATGGTTCCGCTATAAGTAGCTCGAAATGTATCAATGCAAAATGCGGAGTCTATGGCATCGTAGATGTTTCTTCCACTATTACGGAATGCAACCACAGCATGGGAACATGGGAACCCGCTGATCTGCCACTGAAAACAAGAACATGTCAGCTTGCCGACATCAACCAACACCGATGGGTGGGAGTGGACCTCATAGACATCATCATTAGCCTGGCTAACACACCAAGCCCTGCTGTTGTTATACGCTGCCACCAATTTTTTCTCCATTTTCGGAACTATAACACCGTCCCATTTACTGCATTTAACTCTGCGCTCCGACATCTGCTCCATTATTTGACCCCTTATCATATCGACCAATCTCGTGACGGGGAGATGACGAGCCTCACCAACCCAATTGTTGAAAGATTCCGCAGCATTTGAGCACATCTCCCCATACCGTTGGCCCCTTTTTTAGAAAAAAGAAACCCATTTACAAAGCGTAAATTAAAAAGACCAAAACAAAATATACTGAAAAAAACACGTGGGAATTTTTAAATATGCCATAACCCGTTGTGCAGGCCATGAATTACCTAAAATACGCATTAGACCAGTGTTTGGGGTGCAGGTCTTTCATAAAATCTTCAATCACAGCTGGGTTGGCCTTCTTCAATTCCTCCAATTTCTCATTGAAACAATCAACAGTGGGCGCATATGCACATTCCCGTAACTTTCGCATCAACCCAATTTTGTGCGATGCATTAACATATTTCATTCGATCCCGCAAGTTCATTTGCAGATGCAACAAACAATATGCATGATGCGCTGAAGGGAAAATAATGGGCATAGAGTGTAATAATCCGACATGGCGGTCAGATATGAAAGTCAATGTTCGCCCACCCCCAACAACTTCTTTCAAATTATGAAGGAACCATTCCCAATTAGCTGAATTCTCGGAATCAACAATAGCAAAGGCTACCGGAAACAATCCTAAGACCAAACATGCAACATAAAAAGTTAGGCATGACAAAACTTATACAACCATCCACGAATAAAAAAGTGCGACACATTTTAAAAAATTTTAAAACGAATAAGCCTGCCACTGTGTGTTACATTCCTATTCAGTTTTATTTGAGGAGACCCTATTTCAATGTTCTCAATTTTTTTTTCCGTAGTTGAATGGGAAAGAAACATTTGAAATGTATAAAAATTTGAAGTATCTATTTACTAGTATGTTCAGCAAATAAGTAGTAATAGGTAAAGTAACACACCATTACCTTGATTGGCGTCTTTAGCAGTAGCTGCGAGCAAATTACCTTTAAATCTACCTTTCAAAAACGTTCCATCCAAAAAAAGCATAGGCCGGCAGTGTTTGAACCCATCTATACAAGCGCGAAATGATATGAAATACCTAACAAAGCTCCCGGTTTTTGGGTCAAACTCAAGATTAATGTAACTATTTGGGTTTTTTTGCATAACAGAATTGCTATACCACCTCAGCTGATCAAAGGACGTAGCGTGATCCCCGTACACCTCGCCCCTAGCTTTCTCAACACCCAACCATGCCACCCGGTAGCTAATATCCAAACCATAATCGTTCTTCAAATCAAACACGACATCAGTGGGGCGCGTCAATGGCTTATCACGCAGTCGATCTGCAACAACTGTAGACACCAAATCAGACCCCGTACGAGGGTTCCTAGAAGTACGTACAGCAGCCCCACAAGTATGCACACTATCAAACCTCTTAACACATAACACCCCACTTGACGGTAACATCCTCGCATGAACTGACCACGGACAATCTGTTGAAGCCGCAAACTTACACACTACCGTAATTCGCACGGAGTCATTTTTAACATACTTAAATTGAAATCCACGTTCAACAGCATACTTACACAGAACTTCGCGGAATTCAGTTGCTCCACCATCAAAACATTGTCCCACATGGGTAATACCATGCGCCCATTGCGCCGACAGAAACGTCTTCGATTTGTTCGGACAATACATTGGTAACAAATCCATCTGGTCATCCACGAACTCATTCCCGCTAACATGCCGTGACATTCCCCCATCGTCCGCGAAATCCAACACGACACGATTACCACCCACACCAACACTACTTTCCTGAATGACGACCTCAATGTGATTTATCCCGAACGACTTAGCAAGGCACAACATGTTTTGAATGTCGTCGTCGCTATCCACCTTAAACTTCTTATATCCGGGAAAATCAAAAAACAAACACACCGCACCTGGTACCAATCCATCGAACTTCCCACAAATTTCATCAACAATCTTCACATACGACGAATCGTGATTCAACCGAATAAGAACATTAACTAAACCATACGAACACACCAGCAAAATTCCCCCTTCCATACCTGCACACATTTTGGAGAACCCATTACTGCTGCAACATACCCATGAAACAACCAGAACAAAACAGTATGTGTGCATTTGTTGGATTAAACACAGCATTGCAGGAAAATATAAAAAAAACACCAACGACCCATCCCTCCATTGATAAAACCAGCGCACCCATCCCATAGACAGATCAGAGGAAACTTAAAAAATTCTGGAAAAAAAACACACCTTCACCCAGGGGCTTGAACACAACAATGCCACCGCAGGAAGCCACCAACTTGAAATGTCCAATTACAGTGCGAAGAACAGCAATGGTCTCTGGGGAAGATGATGCCGACCAACGGAAACAAAGCTCTCACCGTATTCTGCCTCCATCAAAAACAATGGTGGAATCAATGTAAATGACGGAAAAACAATGGTAATCAAACCGAAATGGTGGACAACAACAATAAAGAATCAGAAACAATGTCAATCAAAATACATAATAATGAAAGAACCAGTTACAGAGTCAGAACGAAAATAACCGTCTATGAGAAATCGCAAAAATGGTGAAAAAAAAATTAACCAATAAAAATCATCCCCACTAAAACATGTTGATTGCAGAAAATCAGTTGTAATGCATCGTAAATGCTACAGAAAAAATGATGGTCTCTGGGGAAGATGATGCCGACCAACGGAAACAAAGCTCTCACCGTATTCTGCCTCCATCAAAAACAATGGTGGAATCAATGTAAATGACGGAAAAACAATGGTAATCAAACCGAAATGGTGGACAACAACAATAAAGAATCAGAAACAATGTCAATCAAAATACATAATAATGAAAGAACCAGTTACAGAGTCAGAACGAAAATAACCGTCTATGAGAAATCGCAAAAATGGTGAAAAAAAAATTAACCAATAAAAATCATCCCCACTAAAACATGTTGATTGCAGAAAATCAGTTGTAATGCATCGTAAATGCTACAGAAAAAATGATGGTCTCTGGGGAAGATGATGCCGACCAACGGAAACAAAGCTCTCACCGTATTCTGCCTCCATCAAAAACAATGGTGGAATCAATGTAAATGACGGAAAAACAATGGTAATCAAACCGAAATGGTGGACAACAACAATAAAGAATCAGAAACAATGTCAATCAAAATACATAATAATGAAAGAACCAGTTACAGAGTCAGAACGAAAATAACCGTCTATGAGAAATCGCAAAAATGGTGAAAAAAAAATTAACCAATAAAAATCATCCCCACTAAAACATGTTGATTGCAGAAAATCAGTTGTAATGCATCGTAAATGCTACAGAAAAAATGATGGTCTCTGGGGAAGATGATGCCGACCAACGGAAAGAGACCTCTCACGGTATTCTGCCTCCATGAAAGCAATGGTGGAATCAATGTAAATGAAGGAAAACAATGGTAATGAAACCGAAATGGTGAACGACAACAACAAACACGTTGATTGCAGAAAATTTTGATACAGAAATGTGCTTTCAAGGATCTGAATACAAAGAGAGGCTTCTTCCGATAGATTTCCTCATCTGCTTTTATTTCCGAGGGAACCATAACAATTGGAAGAGTTCTCATTTCTTTCCAACTTGGTGCATTTGTCCCTGGATATCCTGTCCATCCAGTGATTGTTCGCTATCCCCATGTACACTTTGACCAATTCTGGTAAGAATTTTCTTGAGTTGAAACCGTTTTGGTGTTTTCTTTTGTAATATCTTTACCTAACTTGCATCATATGGCCTTTCATTTTGTTTAGGGGCAATATAGCTTTGGGAAAGCTTATGTTTAAAACATTCATAGTTTCACAATTTCATGGAGGTATGTTGAGTGATTTTTTATTTATCTATAGTTGCATATAGTGAAAATGTAGTGAGCTTGGCTTCCCCCACTATTTTTGTTTGTAAAATTTTTGGGGTAGTATGGTGTATGAGGTGGCAATTCATATATATAGGTTGTTATAGTGATGCCCCAATTTGCTATTTTTCTTTTGATAACTAACTCACTCTCGCAAATCATCAATACTGATTATTCATCAGCTTAAATGTACATGCATTTATATGATGTGTCGTTGACTATATTATAATTTGAATTATGGTTACTGAATAACTTGTATGTCGTAAAAAGTTGAATGAAGTCATTCATTAAATTGTACAAGTAGAGTATCTTCCTATTGTTTTACCCTTTGAAAATCAGTAGGAAAATGATGCCCATTTTGCTCAGAGGGTGAGTCGACATTATTTGATTAATCTTTGCTGCCTTGTTGGCTTTAGTTGATATTTTAGTATTAAGTATATTCTTATACATTACATACAATTTGTTAATTTTTCGTATATTGTTAACATGTTTAGTGTTTCATATGCTTAATCTCCTAAGCAATTCAGAACCAGTGGATGTTTAACACCGTAAATATTGCAATTGAATTTGTGTGATGTTATGTCTATTGCATTTGTGTGTGGAAAAGCCCCCTCCCCCTTTTTTTTTTTCGCATTTGTGCACGAAGAATCAGCCAATTGATGATTATTGGTCTTTGGATTTCAAGTAATATTATATATACAAAGATCAAAATTTCTTTTTAGTGTATTGTTTCAAATAGTACAGAAACAAAAACATCTCGGAAATATTTTATGAAATGAAGATAAAATAGAAATGTTTGAAAATGTAAATTGAAATATATATGTAAATGTATAAAAGCCTAATAATTGATTAATTAAACAAATTGAGATTCATATAGTCATTCACGTAAAAGAAATAAAAAAATAATGTTACTATGTACTAAAAATTATTATACATTATTCGCATTATGGTTTTAATGAAGGAAAATATTATACATTATGATTTATGGAATCAATTGTTTAACTTTATTAGCATTTATGGAATTTTAGTATTAGTGATGCAAGCGGTCATTTATTAGATTTTTGTAAAAATTAACTATTGTGGTTTCTGCTTTCATTATGTTATTTGTAATTTGGTAACTATAAATTACTTGATCTGGTTTTGTGTATTACACAAGTTTATTAGTGTAAATTATGTATAATTGGAGGTTGATAGTAGTGGTGAATTGTTTAATGGACGTTTCTGGCTCTGCAATGGTTGATTCTGGCTCTGCAATGGTTGATTCTTAGAACTTCTTTGTACTATGGAGAAGAATCCTATTTTTGTGAGCTTGATGATTATCTAACAGCACACTCCATTTTGGATTTGTCTTGATTTGCCGCTTGAGCTGCCTTGAGTATACATATCATTCTCTCTAAGTTATTTGTGGATACTGTGTTTTTAATCTATCAATTCATCCCTGATGGATATATGTAGACTAGCCATGCTATAGCTACCTCTCTTAATGTTACACATGAAGAAGTTATTGAAATTGAATGATTTTCGTTAGATCGAAAACTCAGAGATACAATACCTTATATACACTCCACATGTTTACAAAATATCTAACTAAAGTATTTACCTAACTCACTCTGTTACAACAAGTTGAACTAAGACTTGACTTGTTTGGTTTGCAGGACAACATATCTCTAGTCTGCTCTTGGATTGAATCCTGGATGGCTGAGTCTTGATTGGTTACATAAGTGTACAAACATCTCATTCCTATGGGGATATCATGCTGCTTGCAAAAACTTTTGCGTCCAAACAGGTCACTTTTCGTGCTCCATGTGTTTTGGCTTTTATAGTTTATCTTGCGTTTAGGTTGGCAAAAATGATCTTGTACTTCATTCAAACATTCTATGAAGTGCTAGATTTGAGCTCTTAAACTTAATTTGATGGCCTTTTTTGCGATGGACCAAGAATATTTGATGCAGTTGCAATGATGGAATTTACATTGTCTCCTTGGAATCTCATAATGTATTAGGTGTAGGCCTTGAAGCACACCATTTAACGCTTATAATTCCTTTCTTCCAAAATAAATAAGTTGAATTAATGTTTTTATTAATGACTATTGATTAATCTATATATTACAAAATGGAGAAAGGATCACAGATTAATTTGAATAAATAGAGGTGAAAAACGCAGCAGAGAAGGCTTGGAAAAACTAATGTGCCGGTAAAAGGTCTTGTATTCCTTTAGTTCTAGCAAGGAGATGCACACCATTTAACGCTTATAATTCCTTTCTTCCAAAATAAATAAGTTGAATTAATGTTTTTATTAATGACTATTGATTAATCTATATATTACAAAATGGAGAAAGGATCACAGATTAATTTGAATAAATAGAGGTGAAAAACGCAGCAGAGAAGTCTTGGAAAAACTAATGTGCCAGTAAAAGGTCTTGTATTCCTTTAGTTCTAGCAAGGAGATTTTTCCATCTCAACTGGAGTCCTGAAAAGATCTTTAAAATGTAAATATAGTATTACTTCTATCTATGTTAATTGGTTTCTTTTCTATGGTTTTAGTAAACAATGAATTGTTAATTAATGGAACATGAAAAATTAAAATACCCTTGAAATGAAATTTAAGGTCGTAATTTTGTGGGAAGAAGAGTATTTGAGGAGTAGAATGTTTTCAAACTTGGCAAGAGCTAAGCCAATCTTGCTCAAGCTCAGCTCAAAGTTTTCAGACAAAAGACTGAGTTCCTAATCTTGGATAAGCTTTACGTTGTCGGAAAGTCAAAAGAATAGGGGCTGTTAGGTAAAATGTGGGAAAGTAGGGATTTTTTTTTCACGGTACATTAGAATGGGTTCTCACTTTGTCCGTTCATCAGCTTTAACAAAACTCAAGGAGTAAAATTAGCATAATGACCTGCCTGATATTTGGAATTGGACAAAAATTCACACAACCTGTCATGTCGTAGTTCAACTCTTTCACATGCATTACTAAAAATATTTTAGTGTACTCTGGTTTGCCTAGTTTGATTTCTTTCAAATTGGGTTGATTCATAGAACTTGAACTTTGTTCGTTTAGCTCAACAATCTAAATTTTGCGAGCACCAAGCAAAGTGTACTCAAGGCTCCAGCTGCCTGGTTCTTTTAACAGTTGTAACCTTGAGGTATGGTGAATCTTGCCTAGACATGAGCTTTTTGTGTGGTTAATTTCTAACAGCCTTCATTTCTCCGTTGTATGTTTGATTTTGCCATATATGCCTTGCTCCTTCCAGGGAGTATATACGTTGTTTGGCAACATTGTGTTTGTTCAGAGTGTTTATTGCCTAGCCTTAGAAAACTGTCCAGGAACTTTCCCGGATGCAACTTTAGCTTCATTGGTTTCTTTAATATTTTTTCATATGTACTTGGAATACTTTTTGTAAATTTTTCATCTTGTCTACTAACTTCTAAACAAGCCTTTTTCTCATAAATAATAATGCTACATTATTTAAAGAGCCATGCTAATGACAGCCCAATGGGCTGCCAATAAGGGGAAGAAAACGCCAAAAAACTCTCAATGTATTTTTTACACATCCCAAAGCATTTTCACAAATTTGGACACACTTTTTACACGTCCCCTGGTACTGTTGACAGCCCAAAGGCTGTCTTTAGCATTTTTCCTTATTTAAATTATGCAAATGTATTCCATGTCCAAGAGATATGCTGGAAGACTCATAGGAATGATGGAAACAACCAGTAGAATACTGCATGTTTTAAAAAAATAAGTTGCATCTCTCTCTCTCTCTCTCTCTCTTATCCCCATCATAAACATGGATTTTACAAAATATATATTGGTAAGATTGGTCAACAATAGCTACCTTACAAAAAGTTGGGTTCCAACACATCCAGATTCTACCAAGACTGGCATGAGCATAATTATTAATACTATCCCAATTTTTAAACATATGTTTCACAATATACTCATGCTTACCTGACATCACTTTGGTTTCCAAAAGACCCGCAACATGGGCACCCTCAAGTTCTCTTTGTTTGAGAGGATCATTAAAACCTCCAACATTCCAAGAACAAATTTTAATAGGCATAATTATGAACAAAATGACACAAAAATGGGGGATTCACGGCTAAGAACTTACCTCTTCTTCTTCCTGCGGCTGCTAGAAGACCCAGCAGCTTTCCCAGCAGCAGGAGGTGGAGTCATAGCCTTTTGAACATTTGGCTGACCAGTTTGAGTAGTCTCCATAGATAGTAAGTGTTACTCCTTCCCATCTTCTAGAACAGGTACCTTGTTTGTTGAGTCTTGTTGGTCAGTAGCTGCAGATGATAGCTACCTCAGGGTCCCTCATCACAGGCAAGTCACCTACTTCTTGCACTACAGGGGTAGCAGCTGCCTCCTTCCAATTTCCAGATGCTGCCATAGGATTTCCCTCTCCCACTTTTTTTTATTTCCCTCCAGCAATGCTCATTCTCCACTCCTCATCTGTCCTTTTCCAGATTCTGCTGATTGTTAAGTTGGGTTAAGCCAGCTACCTGCTTGGCTACACACTCAATATGCCAGAAACCTTGCAATGAGTGCCCTTGCCAGGAGTCCACAGATACTCCACTCTAATTTTTACTATCTCATCCTCACATTTGAGTAGGAAATCATTAGGAAGGGGGGATTCCCCTGTAATTTCGACAAAAAATTTTGCACGAGATTCTATTGCCCTGTGCAGTTAGTTTATCCATGTAGAGGGGCTCACCCATGACACAAGCAATTCTACTCAGTCCCTCTTCATCCCATAATTCCATAGGGATATTAAACAATTTAATCCAAATTGGAATTTTATTCAACTATTCCTTGGTTAGCTTTATCATTTTATGCCACTGTTTGAGAATCAGATAATCCTAACCAAAGAACCATGGACCATCCTCTAATATACTGTAACTATTCTAAGTAGAGTCAAACAGGAAAAAGACGAGCCATTGTTAGTAGAGATTACCTCCCTCAACCCTTTTCCCCTCCATAGATTGAATGCATAAGCCTTCATATAGTTGAAATTTAGGTTTCTATCTAGGAAATGGCCTACAAGGCATGCCTCCCACTTGTCAATGTTCTCTCTAGGGGGCATTTCAATAACTAAATCAGCCTCAAAATTTGGAAGGAAATAGCTCAGCTTCACTGATGATTTCTTTTTAGAAGACACCACTAACGCCCGGTTCTTCTTCATTGGCTATTCTCTGTTTGGCCCGAATTTCTCCCTCCAGAGTTGAAGCCTTCTCAACATATATTGGTTGGCACTCGTACCCACCTAAAAGCTTAATTCTTTGAGTGTAGAGCCATACAATGTATATTAGGACTCATTCTTTATATTCTTTATCCAATGTGGGACTTTACCTTCACACATGCTCCAACAATTTTCTCTTCATGTGTGGACCAAACATTAGGCCTCACCTTGCTTGAATAAATAAATAAATATAAATAACATAAAATTTCAAAATAAATAAGGTCTCCATGTCGACTTAAACCAAGCACGTCCTGCATCACGGATCTGTGACATGGTTGCTCTTAATAGAGTATGGTGGCTCATAATGGAGTGCATACTGGTGGCCTAGGTCGGACATAGTGTTGGATAATAATAGATCAGAGTTTAAAGGGAGTGAGAAAGATCTATAATGAACATGCGGATGATAGATCAGACTCGAGGGGGAGCAAGAGCAAGAGCAAGGCGAGACCCAATGTTTGGTTCATACATGAAAGGAGATTGCTAGAGCATGTGTGGAGGTAGAGTCCCACATTGAATAAAAAGTAAAAAGAGTGAGTCGTTATATAATTTGGATGGGCCCTCCACTTACAAGCTTAAGCTTTTAAATGGTTATAAGTTCCAAGCAATGTATGTTGGGCCTTGATGTACCACGTGGACTCTGGACTTTGTCCCTAATGGATTGGACCGATGTTGTTGCACCTCACGGCCTCCCTGAATGTCCCAACAAGTGGTATTTGAGCTAATCCTCTTTCCCCTTTGTAGTCTCTCTCGCCTTTGTTATAGTCCATCACGAGACTTCAGATCTTGTTCGACCCTTGCTAATGCACCACAATAACATGAAACCTCCATCATTGTGACCTTTGACACCGATCTGTGTTTCATGGACTCGGCACTTTGGGGCGAAGTACCCGTGTTGACACGACACGACACGACACGACATGGGTGCGGGTGTGGGATCTGTGTCGGATTCGCCTGTTCTCTCTCGGATACGGCTCTTTACAGACAGCAAAAGAAATGAAAGAGGAGAGAGCAAGAGAGAACCTGGTCGAAGCTCCATCCAGTCGAAGCTCCATTCGGTCGATCCAGTCGAAGATCGAAGTTCCATAAGTCGATCAAACAGTCGAACACCCCAGACGACTTCGAAAAGCCTCTCTCTCTCTCCCTCGTGATCGATTGCTTCGCTTTTCTTTTCTCTCCCTCTCCCTCTCCCTCTGTCGTCTCTGTCTCTTGATTCATATATCTATTCGTATCTATCTATATATAATAATAATAAATAACTATATTATAATAACTATAATAATAACTATTATTATTATATATTATATAATAATTATTATATAACATATAATATAAATATATTTATAAGATAATATATACTTATATATATATATATATATATATATTAATAAAAAAAAATAAACACATGTATGTAAAATAAAATAAAAAAATTAATTGGGTCAAATAACTATTATTTTTATTTGTTATTTATATTATATAACTCATCTTCATATAATAAATATATTTTTTAAAAAAAAAACTATTTAATGTATCCCCATACCCGTATCCAAATTTGGATACATATCCACGTATTCTTAATTTTTAATTTTGAAGTGTCCGACCCCTAGATATGCACCTGCACCCGATACCTGTACCCGAGTCCGTGTAACATAGACGCCGATTAGTCTAAACCAAGATGATGATGATGGAAGTAATGGCAGAGCAAACCTCTGTTGCAACCTCTTCATGTCTTAGTCATGGCCCTCATCTACAACTATCTGAGTTGCTTCACTTTGATGTTGTAAGCTAGCGTCTGTCCAGTTGCTGTCACTTATTGGTCCTTAGTTTGTCTCCTTTGTGTGTGATGAAGAATCCTAGGGCTTCGATGGTCCTCACATCGTGGAAGATGACATTTGCTGCAAAAGGTTAGATATAACCATTTAACCTGACCCAACAAATATCACCCAAACTCTTAAAACCCGAGAGTTGCATGATCCAAAACCCACCTAGCCCAATCTGACTCTAACCAGCCTGCCTCCAGCCCAAAAATTAACCCAACCTCATTACTGTATTTGTCTAAACCCATATTTATAATTTAGGAGCCACCCTTGTCCAGCCCAACAACCAATTACCCAAATCAACTACAATCAGCCCACTAAAAACCATTAAAAATATCCAGACCAAATTTATAAATTATCCCAACCAACCCTTAGCCTAGTTCAAAGCTCAAACAAAATCCAACAGTAGGAAAAGAGAAGAGAGAAGATAAGAGAAAAGAAGAAGAAGAGGCTACTGCCCTTACACATGAAGAATTAATGAAAGGAGAGAAGAGATAAGAGAAGAGAGGCAACAATATGAAATAGAGAGAATAAGAACTAGGGTTCTCTTCCTGTTCTTTTAATATTTATTCTTAAGGAAATTCTATTTACACCATAAATTGTCTTAGTACATACCATTACTTAGTTCACACCTTTGATATTTTTAACCTTTGATTTTTTACTCAAAACACACCACAATCTTCCTTTTTTAACCTAAGACACAAAGAATAGATCTCAGTATACACCACCATACACATCACACTCTGTACACAGTTCACCATCACCTTCACCATAACTATATTGTGTTATGTGGTGTATTTTTATTAAATTTAAATGAAATATTCATGGGCAAACTTCCCTTTACTCCCATGTGGTTTGGGTCATGTGCGGTTTACCCTTCTAACGTTTAGAAATGACCACATAACCTGTAAAATAAATTGATATTGTAAAATAAAATGATGTATTATTATTGATTGATTGATGATTGATTGTTTGTTTACAATTCCTATATATAGAAGAAAATGTGGTAGTAGGTGTAGGAGTGAAGTGGAGGTGGTAGGTGGAGTGTGTCATAGTGGAGGTGGTAGGTGTGGAGTGTGTGATAGTGGAGGTGGTAGATGGAGATAAATTCTAACAGCCCCCCGCAAACTCAAGGAGGATAGAAACTAACCAACTTGAGTTTGAAGAGAGGAACAAAACAAGAAAATACATAAAAAAAAAAAAAAAAAAAAAAAAAAAAGAATAGGAGACACTGTATGGTCGTGTCAGACCGTTGGTGAAGACACTGTATGGTGGTGTCATAACATTGTAGATGACACTGTATGGGGGTGTCATAACATTGTAGATGACACTGTATGGGGGTGTCATAACATTGTAGATGACACTGTATGGGGGTGTCATAACATTGTAGATGACACTGTATGGGGGTGTCATAACATTGTAGATGACACTGTATGGGGGTGTCATAACATTGTAGATGACACTGTATGGGGGTGTCATAATACAGAGTCTTGTCGGACCCTTGTAGAAACTAACCGGAATCTATGTCGGGACAGTTTACAGAGTCTTGTCGGACCCTTGTAGAAACTAACCGGAATCTTTGTCGGGACAGTTTATAGGGTCATGTCGGACCGTTGTAAAAGTTGCACCCTCAAAAGGTGTGCCCAATCTTTCAAAAAGGCGTGCCATCAAAAGGCGTGCCCAATTCATCAAAAGGCGTGCTATCAAA